GCTGGAGGGAAAATTATAGAAGTTCACAGATCCAATGGTTTCCTGGATGTGCTTTTTTCCATATTACTATCAATTAACTAACTAATTATAATATTTACAGCATACACCTTTTTTTCATCTCTATTGTGTTTTAAGTGGTTAAAACGAAGCTACTGATAGCACACATGTCACATGTACACACACACTAATCACACAAAGTAAAATTGCACACAGTGAATTAGTGAATCAGACTCAGCACCGGCTGGATATTAACACCGACTGAGAGTAAGGGATGGATGTGACGGGACCCCAAAAAGTATGACAGAAAGAGATCTTCTTGCTCACAAGCAGTACATAATCCTGCTCCCTAAGGAATCCCAATACGTGCTACCCTAAACATCAGATTTGAATTCCTTAAATACTGTATTTGGATCTGACTGGAGATTTTGTTTGTTCTCAGTGACTTACATATATATATATCATAATGTATACTGGAGCACTTCTGCTTTCTTTTTGAAATACCTGCTCTGCTTATCTGATGTTGACTTCTCACTCAGTGCCACCTGTCCATAACACAGGCAGCCTGAGCCACAGTTAATGATTAGAGCTGGTTTTTGACTTTTTCACTAAAGCGTTAATGCACATAATGGGTTATGGAAACATGTTTTTCAAATAAGTAATGTTGTAGCAAATATTAAACTCAAATGATGAATCAGCTGGTTCTCTTTTATTCATTGTCTTCATCTCCAGATACCATGAAACATGGCCAACATCAGCTAACATGAAAGAATAATTACAACTTGCCTGAAATTTAAAAAAAAAAAATGCTCCAGAAGACTTCTTTTTCCCTCTTAGATGGCCAAAGTTTTGTTTCTTTTTTTCCTTTGAGGTTTTTTTTTTTTAGTGGTTGGCAAACAAGTGGTTTTGTTTCTGACTTCTTCTACTCTGTTTTTTGTAGAGCCATATGTAACGTAGCCTGTACCGCCACCTTCTGACGACACTATACAGCCTCGTATATTTGCTCCAAAGCAGTTAATGGAAACAAGCTTAATTTGCATTTTATTTTTTTATTATTTAATGCAACATTTTAAAAGTTTGCTTCAAATTCACTTGACAATTATATGGAGCCACGGCTATTGCCTTTGTGTGTACTCGATTATTTTGTCCTCAATCGTGTTTGGTTTTTTTTTTTTAGTTAAATGTGACAGCCCTTGCCTTTACATCTGTTTTATATGAAATTGATTGTTGAAATGTGATTGCTCTCAAATGCAACAAAAGAGTTTCCATTGATACTGGTCCAAAGCAGACGACAAGACCTTTCTCAGTGGGGATGTCCCCAACATAGTCCGTCTTACTGAGCTCCAGCAGTAGGAAAGTTACAGATTGTGACTGACAAAAAAGGCCTGATTTGTCACAGTTTGTTGTGAATGGGAGAAATATTACAGTCATGCAGCACAATGGTTGTGATTGTTTCAGTTGTGTACTCTTTGCAACATGCAGTGCCTTTGCTCATATTCATTGGTGTTGCAACATCTTTAATATATGATTCAGACTCTCCATAGCTTTAACAATGTTTGGTTGGCATTTTATATCCATGCTTGATTTGACTTACCGCATCTTTGAATCTAAATAAATGATGTAGTAAAATCATAACAAATTAATACAGCTTTAGCACATATCAAAAACGGTCAAAGACCCCATTCAACGATGTTCCTAAAAGCTGTGTTTGATTGTATTTTGTTTGTTTATAGAGCTGACTAAAGCGTTCTAACTGTGAATAGGCATGAGAAGACAAAACCCCAACCCATTAGAGAGTCAGACATAAACATGATAATAAAGTCAACATGTGGCACAGTCTTCTGCACTGAAGCATCCTCTCTGTATCAGGCCCACATACCTAAACACAACATGGCATGGCGTCAGTGTGGATAGCCCACGGTCAGGACACACAGGGACTTAAACCAAAGCAGGGCAGTCATCATCAAATTCTGTCAGTTACCTGGATTTAACAAAACAAAGAGCCATCCAAGCTCTTTAGAAATCTGCCAGCTAAGCCTTTTCTCTTTTCTTCCTCATAATAATCCCCCCTGATGGTTTGTTTGGGCTCAGTCAGGGCTGGAGGGAAGCAGGGGGAAGGAGAAAGTGAGGAGGTAAAGTGGGGGTCTTTGATGATGACGAGATTAGATATAGCCCGGCAGACTGTCTCCTCCCTGCCTTCGCTGCAAGCTCTGCCACACACACACACACACACACACACCTATGGCTGCTGCACACGCACACACACACACGCGCTCACATATAGCTGCGTACACATATATATGGTGAGCTGCATGCACAAGGCCACCCCCTTCCTCATTGTTGAGGAATTACTTGCTCTTTAAGGTCTTAAGTTACAAGAGCAATTGATCCCTCTGACCCCCTGCAAACCCTTGAGGTTGTGCTGGGAATCTGAGCTCCAATGTATACACACAGGAGACAGCTCAACCCCCAGAGCAGCAGTCCCGACACTCCCCGGCACCCCTGCAACACACACACACTCTTCTGCCGCTTGTTTGTTTTCTGATTCAGCATGTTTCAATGCTGTGGATTTAGCACTGCCTGCTGGTCAGAAAGGTGTAGTACCACCAACAGAGTTTTGCAGCCAAGTATACCTTGTGCATAAATACAAAGCTGATGCCAAGTGCTAACTGCAACCAGAAAACATAGTTTATAGTAAAAGATAAATTAGTCATGTCATGTTTAAGAGTTTGTATTTTCCACCTTGTGGCAAGCCAAGGAGAACTTTATTGAAACTCAGAAATGTGCTTCCATTGTGGCTGTCCTGGCTTATAAATAACAGTTTTTTACCACCAGAGCTGGTTCTGCTTAAGTAGAGTCAAAGGTAGGGCTAATTTGCAATTAGGAAACTGCAAAAGCTGCAATTTAGTGATATAGGAGATGTGGCTATTAAATAATGAGACTGGTGTTTTAATTCAGTTTTATTCAGTTCAAGCTGATTGAAACTTCAGGCATGCATGCTGTGGTTTGAATGACACAAGTCCAGTCTCAGTATTTAATCGCTACACCTCATGCATTTTTACAACATGTTGGACCTGGGATTTAAACTGTCCTGTCAGTGGTTTTACAAATTAATGCCCTCATCCTTGTGTGACGATCACACATTTGATGTTTTCTCATGTGGCCATACACATGTTTTAAACCTAATACACACTGAATATTGACCTCAAGCTTGAGTTTAAAAAATATTTTGGTAATCAGATTACACTTGGAGTTTCTGTATCAAGAAAATTTCAATAAGATATTTTCTATTAATCGTTTAGCCTCAGTCAAAGACAAAGATCATGTCATGAGAAACTCCTAACAATGATGCTTCTATAGCACAAAAAGGCCCAGGCTAATCTGAAGTCATTTCAAGACATGTAGGATAGATTTCAAATATTTTCTCAGAAACCTTGAAGCCCAAGCTGATGCTGTAAAGTGTTGCATCCCAAACACTAAAAATATTCAGTTTTCTGTCATTAAATACTAAGAAAATGTGATTATACACACATTATTTAAAGAATTCATCCAGTCACTTATCACAATAGATGTAATTTAAAAAGTATTTCAGCTCTAGATTACTTTAAACAAAGATAAAGATGAAACTTCACATTTAACTATACTTGCTCCAATCAAAATGACCCTTAAAGACTATAAATCACAGAGCACAAGCTAAAATACTTGCAGCTCACAATGTAGAAGAATTTTAAATAGAAACCCAAAAACAAGATATTCTAAAATTTGCTGAGAGCACTTTCACTAAGTTTGCTAAAAAGATCAACAAGTCTTGCTTCCTCATTCACTGAAACGCTACATTACTAAAAATGTTTTGGACAATTTCCATCCATAAGAAAGGTTCTGTTCTCCCTGAACCCCTCTTCTAAGCTCAACTGCACTGAACAATTAACTCTTGACCTCAAATAATTGTATTATTACAAGGGTCGGCCTGCCTTAACAGCCCTTGCCTGCGCTAGCATGTCCCCCACAGCCGCGTCGTACGTCACTGAGTTACCTTCTAAACCAAATAAGGAGTTCTGGGTTTCTAACAAATTGCTCAGCTCTGTTTACCTTGACACCTTTGAAGGTGAAAAACTTGTCATTTCTCAAACGCCAGCTCAAATGAAACACTGCTTCAGGTCCCTGTGACGCGAGGAATGAATGTTTAGAGACATTATTAGACGTCTGGTGCCAGGTTACGCTTTACAGCCAAGGCAATTTGATAATTGAGGTTGTTAGAGTGAAAAGGCTGAAGGCTGAAGACAGCATCGTTATGCTATGAAAATAATCCCCCACGCTCTGTGGTCGCTGTCACAGTCAAACTCATTGTGTCATTTTTCAATCCTGGGCTTGTCTAAGTTCTGTCTTGTTGTGGATCCAACAGAGCCTGCTGTGTGTGCATTCACACCCACTTGTACCCTGCCAGCAGAACCTTGTGGACAGGGAAGCAATTTGGTCTTTTTTAATATTTGACTGAATTACAGGAGCAAATATTGGATTGAACCAAGTTTCCTCTGGTTTCTCTGTACACACACACTGTCACACACACACTTGGACATTTTCTTGGTGATAAATAGTAACAGATCATGAATTTAAAGCTTATTAGAGCTCGCTCTGTCAGTGCTCTGTATGCTGCAGTTTATGGTTTTTATTTATGAGAGCTGTGTGACGAGGAAATTGCAGGTTTGATTTTTGTATGTCCTGGCATTGATGAGTTGTCATGAGTAAATATTGAAAATTCACAGAGATAGACAGACATTGGTCGCCTGTCGCAGCCAATAAATATTAAATTATGCATTTACTCTGGCTGTGTCTGAATGTAGCAGAGAGAAAATAGTTTCCTGGTACATGCCAGAAACTCTTCCTAAACTGTGTTGACTGTGTTAACATATTTGAAGGAGGAATTGAGGGATGGCATTTAAAGAGACTCGTTGACATGAAGGCAATGAAGTCAAGTAACGCTGCTTCTCACTTTATCTTGGCAGATCACGAACATCACCAAGCTCAAAGAGTTTCTGCTGCAACACAGAAAAGATTACGTGAGCGCCGGAAGGTAAGCCTCTCCAAACAGTCACAGTAATCCACCACAATCAACAACAGCAGCGGCAAAACCCTTCAAGGCTGCAGGAAACGCTGATGAGAGGGAAAACACTTTGATTCTGACAAAAATTCTGAATAGGTCAGGAGTCAGGGTTATTTGATGGGACTTTTTAAATATGTCTTCAGTGCCTGTGTGTGCTGCAGGGGCTGGCCGCTGGCACAAGGTCAGCAGCAAGTAGGGTGGTCTATAGCGGCAGGCTCCAGTCTAATTGTCTGGAATAATTGAGCTGCAACCAAGTGGAGAACAAATCACGCCCAGGGACTAATCCAGGCCTTCCTCTCTTCAAGGCCCCTCTGTGTTTCGTAGGTGTGGGTGTGTGGAGCAGCCGATGTTTTGTAAGATTTGTTGATAAAGCCTCAACAGAACGCATTAACTAAACATTAAGGATGCCAGTGGGTGGAGTGCAGTCGTATTTAGCGGTGGGAAAATCCACTGATATGTGTGTTAGTCTCATACCTTCATCCTTCAGCTGTTCCTGTCCTCCAATTTTCTAATTAACTTCTTTTCCTGATAGAATAATTCTGAACTATGGATTATAAACTGAATTAGTTTAGCTGGTCATCATTGTAGGTGAAAGCAAAAACCGGAGGGATGGTGCCTTAGAATAGAATACAGGCAATTCAGTTTTAATGACATTATACAATGGTAACTTAATCAAACCTTTAATCCTTCAGTTGTTCTCCATAAATAAGACATGCTCAGTGGCATGTTTTCTCACTGCATCTTCAGTCTTGCATGTTTTTTTGTTTTTATGAAGGAGATTGTTATTTTCTCTCTTTGCTAGTCTGTCAGTTATTTTTCATGTCTCTAGACAGATGCTGTTTTTTTGTTCAACTAGCAGCCCAGATCCCTACAGTATAAAGAAAATGTCTTAAATGTCTAATCAATTATGAAAATAGTTGCTGATTTTTTTCAAGGTTACACATTTACACAGACTTTTTGCATAAATTTGCTTTCTTAAACTAATCAAAGTAATCCCAAAATCCAATCCACCTTAACAACACAAAGAATAGATTCCCTGCTTTCTGTGTGCTGTTTCCAGTAGCTCTGTGTGATTTTAAGTAAGTAGAAAAACTGTGCGTTAAGCCTTGAATATACTCGTGGACACCACAGACATACAGCTGATGTTATTAAACTACTTTCTAGTTCGCTTGAAGTCCACTTGGAGGATTCCGTTCTGTCCATGCACAGTAGATCAGCATGTGCATGTTACACACCTCCCACTACTGCATCTGTGGAATACATAGATACGACCTATTGTGCATGTATGGAACAAAATCTTCCGTGCATATTAGAAAAGTAGCATAATAATAACCACAACTACATGTCCGTGGTGGTCACACTAAGACCTATAGTCAAGGCTTCACTCTGGCCTTAGAAGTTGATCAGATTGTGGCGTTATTTCTATCACTTGATGATAAGTAGTTCTTCCCACTGTTTGTGAAATTTGCCTTTTTTCCTTGTTCAGATTCAGATTCTTTATTGTCATCGTATAGACATGTGAATTTAAGGACACCGTGCTCGATGAATATAGTCAAAGCAGAAAAATATTAAAAAGTGTAGTGATCTCCAAACTCAAAGGTGAACGGTTGTGGATAAGTGCTGTGTGATGCCTTTGACGTCTGAGTCAAAGATGCAACTGTAAGTTGTTGTCTGTGCTTGTCCCTGATTCTGGGCTTAAGTTTGGCTTAAATTCATACTCACCTGTTTTGCTAAGAGGTTGCTGCATATTTCGTATGTTATATGGTTAATGGTTATAGTTAATACCTTAGTAATAACTGTAAGTTTAAACAGACCATACCTTCCTTGTCTGTTTTTGTGTTTTAAAAATGGACCTTGAAGGTTTTTATGCCATCTCTATACGGGGACACGATACAAGTTTCTCACCATACAGGAGTTAAGGTTTCCTCAAAGCTGTTTAGTTTCCACTCGTCGTGCAAAAACATTAGAAAATCTTAACTTGCTCATTTATGTTGGCATTAGTGTATTGGTTTGATATTAAATAGTCTGAAGACTTCCTCTGCCATCCACTTAGTGCATGGTGGGATGTGCCCCTGCTCAAAATGACTGTGACTGGGAGTATTTGAAGTAGAGAATGTTTAAAACTATGCAAGAAATGGGAGGAGAAAGAAGTTTTTCATTACCAGTAATTACACCAGAACTTCACCAAGTCTATAACTTGACAAGATAACATTGAAGTTACTGTGCACCAAGTTTCTATTTAAACTGATCTTGTGTATTTTACAGTCTTATTTCATCAGATCTTACCCGCATGACGGACAGTGAAAGAGACCAGATCGACCAGGATGCTCAGATCTTCATGCGAACGTGTTCTGAAGCCATCAAGCAGCTACGCAATGAGGGTGTGTGTTTTATTACAGTGCAACTCAAATAATATGGGAAATAAAGTTATAATGCCAGGAGATGCTGGTACTGCCTTGCATATGCAGCACACTTTACAGTTTACAGCTCATTGATTTTAAAAACTCTGATCAGTGTGTGTTGTTACTTGAGTTTGGAGTTATTTTTAATAAGGAGTCATTTTACTGTTGTCACCACAGCGGAGAAGCAGGTGACGTCAGCTCAGATAAAGGAGCACAGGGGGGCAGTGCTGGACCTCGTAGAGATGTATCTGAAAGGTGAGTTTGCGCAATTAATTCCTGTATAACATATACATACGAGCAAGTTCAGACTGAACTTGTCATGCACTAAGTCTTTAATGGACTATTTTAAATGTTTAGGAGCTCATATCATGTCTGTCTTTGTGATTGTTTTCAAGGTGTATGTAAAATCTACTCTGAGCAGAGAGCAATTAGAGTCAAGCGAATGGTGGACAAGAAGCGGCTGTGAGTATTTCCAAAACCTCTTTTGTTTTTTGTTTTTGTACAATATCTCTCATCCCTCATTTTAAGGTTGCTGAGACTGTTGAAACTGCTTTGAAATTCACATAACCTCATGGTCTGTGGTTTCAGATCGAGACTGGCACCAGAGCAGCACAGTCGAGTGGAGAAAACTGTGGAGGCTGAGCCCACACAGGAGAAGATTGTCAAGGAGGAAAGTTCTGGTAAGTTAGTGAGTCTCCAGAGACACTGGGCTCTGCTCGTTTGAAGGCTCAAAGACTACACAAGCAAACCCTCTGCTGCACATGGCTACTTTGTGAACAGTGAATTATGCTTTACTGCTTTGATGTTTGCCGCATTTTGCCATTTTTTTCTACAATGGGCTCTTTAATTTAGAAAATCAGGAAGTTATATATACCTCCATTTTAGTTTTAAAGCAAGAATGCAATACTTGAAACAATATTTAACATGAGCCAGTAAAAGAGAAGAAAATAATAAGAAACATTGTAAAAAAAACAATGCATGCATTAGAATAGATAGATGGTCTATGTCATGGTCTCATGGTACTTTGCTATTACACAGGACGATCCATTGTGACTACTTTAATAAAACCACAGCCAACTACATTACAACCATTTACAACACTAAAAAAGTTGGAAGATAAATAAACATTCAAACTGGTCTCAATTACCATTTTTAAGACGATTTTCATTCATACCCTCATCCCATTCCTCACAAGAGGGAATATCTGCCGACTTCTTCAACTTAATTCCACCTTAACTGAAAACAGTTACATTACATGTATTATCTTGTAGTAGATGTATTAGGCATGTGCATATTAGTGTTTAATTATCACAATAGAAATGGCTTAATAGTTTAATGATAGTGAGACGCAATGATAATTTACTGCCATTATGTCGACTGGATTTTTATGTCACCTTGAACTGCTTGAAGACACTATTTCCTGGAACTTATGGAACAAAATGACAATTGACAGTGGGCAATTTAAAACTTAACTTCTGTTCAACTAATTTTCATTTAATAACTACACATAATTGCAGTCGTGCTTGTTAAAGTTACAACTAACTGTACTTAGAGCTCTTAGGTCCTGTTTGATGAAATATAAAGTAGATAACCCAATTAAATACATCCATTTTAATAACTACTCAGTTTTATATTTTTCCATTGAAAAAGGAGAAGTGTTAACAGTTCTATTGTAACACGAAGATTTATTCATTTGGCATTTGTAATTCTCTTGCTGTAGAGAAGAGTGTGTCTGAGGTCCTGGATGAGCCTGTCAACCCCTGGGAGGAGGGCCGAGTGGAGGATGAGCTCTCTCCTGAGGAGATCCAGATGGTGTGGCACCTCAGAAGTCATTATTAACATTATGCACGACACAAAATGTCAATTTTTCTATTGGTCCTGTGTGTCTCATAAAGATGCATTTATGTTTAGATGGTGTCTAAATGCACAGGTACTTTAGTCATTGCTTTACTCAGGAGGTTTGTAGGAATTAAATATGTAGCGGGACAATTAGCATTTGTCATGACAAAAGTAGTGTACAGACATCACTTAATAAATCCAGATGAGGGTTTGCAGCTCAGATAATGCAACTTATCCAAAAGAAATGTTAATCTCTGACTTCTGTGTTGTGCATCACTGATGAAGATATTCAACTGTGCTTTTGTCTAGTTTGAGCAGGAAAACCAGAGATTGATCAGTGAGATGAACAGTCTGGTGGATGAAGTGAGGTGAGGCTCCATTCAACTCACATCTCTTTTTAATACGAGTACCAGGGTAGGCCAGTGTTTTCATTCTGTTCACGAGTACAGTGAATGATGATGTGAATGGTAAACTATTTATTGGGGGACTGTAATAATGGAGAGACACTCTTCGGTATATGTTACACCGTGTCACACAATTACATGGTCCTAGTGATTGAAACACCAGCTGAACAAGACAACAATTATATGAAAAGCCAGATGTCAATGCTCACTGGATTAAAATGACCCAAGGACATGGGTGTTTTCAGATGACATTATTACTGTGGTAGCCAGTGAAAATCACTGACATGTTCGTTCCAGATGGAACAAAACTCCTGAGGTTCTGAGGTGAAAATCACCAAACACCACACCTACCCCAGCAACACTAACGCCATCTGGAAAGGCTTATATATGCTAGACTGGCTGTTTTCATGGGATATTTCATGCTTACGTTTTGTACCCACCAGGCAAATCGAGGGGAAGGTGGTGGAAATATCGAGACTTCAGGAGATCTTTGCTGAGAAAGTCTTGCAACAAGTGAGCTGAGTTCCTTCTGTTTCATTCACTCAGTCACTTAGGTGCACAGTGTTTTGACAGGAGGTTGTGCACAAATTGATCATCCATCTCACTTTCTGTGACAGGAAACTGAGATAGACAGTATTCATCAACTAGTTGTGGGTGCGACAGAGAACGTCAAAGAAGGCAATGAGGATATACGAGAGGTATGTACTAAATGAAAAAGAGAACATTTGCTTTTGGTCAGTATTAGTAAATTTAATCTGTAAAATGTCATTCTTTTTTCTTCTTTTTCAAGGCAATCAAAAACAACGCTGGCTTCAGAGTATGGATCCTTTTCTTCCTCGTTATGTGCTCCTTCTCTCTGCTCTTCCTGGACTGGTACGACAGCTAGCACAACTGGACAATGGACTCTGTGCGATAGGAAACTGCCTAAAGCTAGTGATGACAACACTGAGACTGACTGTACGGTTTATTTTGCTGGATCTGGTGGACAACTTGTTTGTCACGAAGATTGTGTCTTCAAGCAGAGACATCAATTTGTTGGTCCCTATTAATCTTTGTCTGCGCTTTCAGGGTGGCTTTGATTTATTAGTGCACTTCTGTGGAGGCAAACTTTGTCTGGAGCACCATGTCCACTTTAACAGTTTGTCCAGAGGTTGGACAGTCGGTCTTTCTCTACCACTAAACTGATAATGGTTTGTTTGACAGCCACTATTTTTGTGAAACTGAAAAAAGCAAAACAGGTCTTGTTTCTGCTGGTCCCTTTTGAAGCAGACTTCAGTGCGCTAGAAGACACTTGCACTTCTCATGTATGTGAGTAGATTGGAGATTTGTCCCACAATGATAGACTGTAACTCATATTTCACTCTCAAATGCTGAGAATGTTTTTCTGTTTAGGCAAATGTCAACAGCAGAAAATTTTATTTGGCATCTTTGTCAGCATAACTGTACCGACATACCACTTACATTCTAGTAAAACTAAGCAATTCTCCTAATTGAATTTTGTATGTTTTTTCCTTACTTCAGGCACTCATTCATTTTATCATATTTGATTTATTTTATATTGTGTGTTGGGCTTTTAGATAACATCAAGAGCAGCAGAAAGCCACAGCCTGTCTTGGTTTATGTCAGCGAAGGAAAAGAGCCTGTTGACTCCTGATATTTCTGCTAATCTGTTTATTAGGATTAACCTAGATTCTAGTGACAGCATTAAAGCGCTTTGAAATTTTTTCTTTGATCTGAACTCAAGGGAACGGGAACTGTTAACTGTATTTATTTCCTGCACTGAGGGAGTTTTAGCTGCACTGACAAGATTTACTCTCAAAATAATTAATGTAAATGTTCTTTTACATACATGGATTCCACAGAGACGTCGATGTGAAATGTGGGCACTTTATTTCAGTTTTTCATTTAACATTTTATGTAGCAAATGCACTTCAATGGTAACCATTACATCGTTTGAAAAAGGTACATAATTTGTGACAGTTTAAGTTATTTGACAAATACAGAAAAAAGCAACAGGACAAGCAACTACTGTCAGATTGTTCCACTACATCAACCTAACTCTAGTATCTGTGATGGCTTCTAATAGCCATCTATGGTGATGTTAATCAATGCGAAGCATTGCACAATACAGTGTCTTTACTAGCAATGCAAAAACATTCAATACAGTAGCATAAAAGTTATGCTATCAAAAGTAACTATTAAATAACTTTCATGGAGCCAGCAAAGAAAAAGCACATGGTGGTCACAAAAAGTTCAAATGAATGGAGACAATCATTAATGTCTTGAAAAGACTTGATGGATCAAATACTAAAAACTCTATAACAGCACTATATGCAGAGAGCAGTATGGGCTGACTCAACACAACACAATTAAAATATTCTTTTTCCGCTGGTATGTTTCCTCCAGGTCAAGCCTCAACTTTTCACAATATCGTAACAGTAAGATATTTTGACACAGATGACCTCAGTGGCAAATATGCTGCAACTTTGTTGCTTCATGAGACGTTTACCATTTACCTGACCTCCAGAGGTCTGACATGCTCTGCCAGTACTTGGAAAAAACAAAAGAGAGATTCAAAGCAAAATGATTGTTATTAGTCGTGCGTGCATGTGCGTTAAAAACAAGCGACGCAGACACGAAATGGTTCACAGTCATTTCACAATCAGAGTACTAAAGTGAGTTCTGTTACATATGTGTATGTACAAAGACAGTGGGTGTGTGTGTCAGTGTTTGTGGTTCTGGGGCTTTTTCTACACATTTGCCACTCTGTTTTAAAATGTAAATAAATAACAACATATGCGATTCAAACAAACCATGAATCCACTCCACTGTAAGCCTCGCTTTGCTTCAGATATGTTCAAAATTTCCACAGATTTCCTGCTACAGAACACACCAGCTGATCAAACTACATCGACAAGGCAGCAGAGCACCTCAGGCAAGAGAAGCTGATGTTTCACCCACAGAAAGCCAGGTGACTCTGAGGTTTGCTTGAATGGCACAACCATATTATTTATTTTCTGCAGCAGGGGGAGGCCACCTCCTGACCCCAGGTTGGTTAAGCCAGTTTCTGGGCAGTCTCCGTCTCCTGCTGAGTGACCTTCTCCTCAGACATGATGGTCATCCATGGTGATACTGACCGAGTGATGGTCTGCTTAGCTATGTTGTAGTGGTTGATGAGGGTAAAGAGACGTCCACGGCCCCCAGGGCCCTGAGGGGGGTAGTTGCCATACAGCCCAGCTGGCATGCAGCGACCTTGCTGCTTCAGGGAGAAAGAATTAAACATACCAGGAGACGATAAATCATCCAGTTTGCACAATGGGTGAGTAAAAAGTGAAATGACACAAAGTGTAATGAAGTTGTACAAAAAAAACGTTTCACAGTTGGATTAGACACAGGACTGAATGACAGAAACAAAATGGGGTTGTGCCGTTAATCACAAGAGCAAAAGACCACAATTTACATCAAAGACAGACAAGAAAAACAAGACGACATGCTAAATGTGATTACCTAAGTCACACAAGCATCAGTGCAAATGGACCAGGGTGAATAATGAAATGAGGCAGCACCCAGTAACCTTAACCAAAGCACCAAGGTTTAGTGAGACAGCTGCAGCTACAAGTGACAACTGTGGGATAATGCAAAATGCTACACGACTGAACAGTGAAAACGGACAAAGTCAGCACACTCAACATTGTCTTTTACATTAAGTTAATTAGCCGCCATAAGCTAGTGGTCATATCGGACCAGTAAGGCTGAATCAGCAAAAGCCACTCACTATGCTGAATTGGGCAGTGGTGTGTTTGATTGCTTATTAATTCATCTTCTCATCTGTAATAACAAAGATTTTTTTCTTTTCTTTTAAAAGTTGCAGAGTCTCACTACATAGACTCACTGATAGTTGCACAGGAGTAGTGATATAATTAAAACGACACCTTCAAAATAGAAAATCATTCTATTAAAGGTCAGATCTACAAAGAACAAACAATTGACTGAATGTCAGATAATTAAAGGGCAGATCTGAGGGAAAATAAAACTCACTTAAATTTCTTTTGATTGTGAAAACGTCTCTTGGTAAAATCAGAAAAATAACAACCCTTTATTTTTTTGGCTTCATTGCAATGCATTGTCATAAAAACACTATTAGACCAGGTTGTAATATCAGCACATATTGTATAATAAACTCTACTTAAACTGCACTTCTTAAAGCAATGCTATAAAAATGATTTACAAGACAAAAAGCAAACGTTTGCCCAGAACTCTAACATGAGATACAGACAAAATAATGAAACTGCAGCGTTGTTCATGCGTTGCCATCAGGCGCCGCCACACACAAAAGAATGCTCATATGTGTTTACCGTGTAAACAAAGCTGTCAGGACACGGCTGCTCATACTGGTAGACCTTGTAGACGACCAGGAACACCACACACACCAGGAAAGCCAGGGCACAGATCACCAGCAAGGTCACCTAAAGGAGAAGCGCAGCAACGTCATCGTCAGCACAAGACGTACGTGACAGCTCAGTTAGAGGACACCACAAATAGACCATATCAGTCTTAATGAAAGGAAATGACTGGTGTGCCAGAGCAGATTTTTATTTGTTTATCATCTCTTGAAGGTTGAACAGCATGAAATGTGTGCATACACGGACGTACATACAGCAGTGACAGTAACAGCCAGTCAGGGCTTTGGGATTTTCTGCACAATAGTAACTCGACAAGCAAACGGCTTGTGTGACCATCTGTACAGCCCGGCTCCTACCTCTCAGGGGAGTTATGTAACAGCTACTGGTGTTTCTGGGTAGTGGGAGAGGGAAAAAGACGAGGTGTGGGAGAAATGGCCTCATTATTGCCTAAGATGTTAAGCCCCAAAGGTGCGCTCGAGCTGTTCTTACAGTACGGATGATTAGGATGTTGTTTTGCGTGCTTGTGTAGAAATTTGAAGCAATGCCAGAGAAATAGTTCTATATTCATGTAATTACACTGATACAACAGAGAAATAGTGCTCTGTCAGAATGATCTTGAGGATTTCTTGGACAGGGAGCAAGGTGTCACCAAGTGCTGTGTGTATAAACATGAATAAAACGATGCTCTTTTTTTTTATCTATCTGGTTGAATCCTGTAGTTACACAGCAGAGCAGACAGTACAACGTGTACGAGGCAGAGCAACAGGAGCTTATGAAAGGGACTATCTGCGATGAAAGGCCTGCCTGCAGCATTTCAAAGCACCGATGTGACGATACAAGCTGTGTTCTCGGAGACAGCAATGTGCCTCTGCCTTTCAGATGTTTGAGAATTAAAGCTTTGTAAAGGAAGCTTGACACACCTCGAGGAGACAATTTCATCTGTTGATTCCGACTGAGCGCTGCAGTCTGCATGCAGAAGAGTTTTACGAATTCGGAAAGAAAGTCTTTAATATATGCAAGTTAAGTCAACCAACTCTGTGTTTTTTCTCTTTTGCAAATCTGTGTGTTTTAACAATTCTATAGGTGTGAACAGAGAAACACATCTGCCGACCAGGGGGGCGTAAAGGGAGGTGGAGGAGATGCTGTCATTTGGAGGCCATCGCCATGGCAGCAGCTGAATTAATGAGAGTTTCAGGGCGGGGTTAAGTGAATCATTGTGCATTATGTCTTCCTGTGTAGCCTGACAAGATGACACGAAGGAGGCCTGAGAGAAGAAGCCACAACTTGGAAATGGAGAGGTAGCGTTATGACGGCAGTGACAAATGTGTGGAGATGCAGGGAGACAGCTGACCGCTCTCTGCATGTGTGGCAGATACTGGAAATGGGATGATGTATGAAACACAGACATTATTCTTACTTTGAGTCGCTCAGATACGCCTTCAATGATGCTTATTGAAAACTCTGCAATTTTAGGAGATCGTAGCTTTCCCTTCTTGCTCTCCCCATCATAATCTGCCTTTGTCTTCACCACCACCTGGTAGAAAAACAGAACACACACACACACACACACACACACAAGATCCAATCAGCCTTCAGTTACAGCTTCATGAGAAAATGAGATTCCACACAGGCATGATTTGTATTTTTCTAAATGTAGAAGTAATTGGGTTGTAATGAAGGACACTGGTGGCCCAAAAAAAAGTGTAGTCTGCCTAATTGGACTAATTAGAATGATGGAAATCCATTATTAAACACATTGGGAGCCTAATTTTAAATGGAAAAATATCAGATCTTACCTTATCTGGTGGAGGAAACTGCAGCTGACTGGCATCTAATGGTGTTATGAGAGGGATGGTGTCAAATCCGTCTTCAGAAACCACCTTCCCGTTATTTTTCTCGCTGAAATTATTCCCCAGTTTAACCATTTTCCCCAACCTGAGGAGGGGGTAAACACGCGCTTATTACTCCGAAATGAAACACATTATATCGATCATCCTGTGCCTCTGTGTGCCCACATGAAAAACTCAAGCAATCACAAGTGTTCAATTATTATTTTTTTAAACACATAAAAACAAACCAAATATAAAAAAAG